GATCATGATAGTCTGTAGCTGTTGCTGTGTACCCTGCTGTCATTCACTGGCGGTCAGATTCATCACCTCTACAATCGAGAAAGGTGACAGTGATCACCCTCCTGCTTACCAAATGTACAGCCAGGGACGTGACATGGAACTATCTTTAGTGGCCATCGCATCGCTACTGGAAGAGGCTGACTGTTCCCGCCAGCTTTAAAGTTGCCTGTTTTTCTAAAATGCTACATTGTGTGTTTACCAAGAAAGATGAGGGAAAGTTTCTTTTCCTGTACAAGTGGGGTTTGGGTCTGAAATGACCACCGTCACAGAGGCGTGAGATGAAGTCCTGCTTTCCTCCTTAAAATGAACAGCTGTCCCAGGGGGGTTTCCAGGACATGCAGAGCTACACCTATTCAGGGATGGATAGTTAGGAGTAATGGTCTCTTTCAGAGACCAAAAGGGGGAAAATGTAAAAACGCTCTTATCTGCTGAGCTGTATTGCTCGATGTATCACAACTGTACCTTGTCCTTGTCTGTTTCTGCTTGGCTTCTGGATCTGCTTGCCTTTTGATATCAACAAGTACAGATTGAACTAAGTCAGAGAATGTATTTAAGTTTTTTGTGTACGGGACATAAACTAACAGGGAGCTACTAGTGTGTGTTTCACCTGATGACAAGATCGCCAGTAAACTGGAACGGCAGAAGAAAATATAAACAAACTCCATAAAAGGACTTCCAAGAAATGAAGACATCAGTTTGAACTAGTTTAGACAAAGAACTGTAAGAATGTGTGACACGTCTCTGGGCGGCGCTTTTGTGTTTAAATACAGAGGAACCTGAAAGCTCCGGACAGACGCATCTTGGGTTTTTGTTGTATCTCTGTTGGTTTGGGGTAAGAGCGTCACCTTTCAGCTGAAAGCTTTAACAAATGTTGGTAATATTTTTTAACTTGAATCTCTCTGACTGATTATTGTGTCTTTTCTCCATGTATCTCCGAACCAATGAGAGGAACAGGTGAATAGGCTGAAAAGTCTGAGTTGTTGTGTTGATTTTCCTCGACACAAGCAAACTCACCTGACCTTAACCCCAATAGAAAATCTATGGGGTACTGTAAAGAGGAAGATGTGCTACACCAGACCCAACAATTTAGTAGAGCTGAAGGCCACTATCAGAGCAACCTGAACTCTCCTAACACATGAGCAGTGCCACAGACTTTTTCATTCATTCATTCAACCTTTATTTAAACAGATAAATCACATTGAGCCTCGAAGACTCATTTACAAGTGAGACCTGTTTGGACAGACAAAAACAGTGGTTAACTGGACACATGTAGGAGTTGGAGGCGAAAAAATTCCTATCAGACCTCTTTCTTGGCTTAGAAAAACCCCTAATATTGAAAAAACACCTCGCACAAACAAGCACATATTTACGTAGAAATTCTGCAATAGAGCAGAGCAGGAAGAAGGAAGAAACAAGAGTGGTCAACAACGCTTATGGATGCTCTCGAGGTCACTGTAATCAGTCAATGTCCTCCGGTGAGATCCATAAACATTCTCGAGGTATGTCAAGGAATGGCCAAGGATAACCCCTGAGCATCCAGAGTCCTGAAATGATGACACAAAGTTTTTTCAGCGGGGTTTCATCTGGTTATCAGTTGGAAATTCCTCTGGGAGGGGGGTGGTGAGCGTCAGATCACATTTTCTCCAGGCGAAATTCAGATAAGGTGACCTTCAAGGACAACAAAGGCGACCAAAATTTAGATAAACACACAGTTGTTTTGGGGACAGGCAGAACTTAATGACATCTGCCTTGAGTCTGTGTTTGGTCCACTCGGTTCCGAAATGTCCAAAATAACATGGCCACACTGATGGAACATGACTGAGTAAAAATCCCCAAGATCTGATCCATTCAGCTCAAAGCATTTGAGTCCGGGTACTCGAGACATGAAACCAAACCATCATAAAGGCAAGCAGCGTGATCGGGTCCAAATTTGCTGCTGATGACTTCCTTGATTGTAGATAAAAACCAGGACAAGCTGAATCCAAAAAGCAGGAACCAGTTATCGTGAATCCAATTAAATATGCGTCCTTAAAATCCACAGATGGCAGCAGAGATAGACACATCATCAAGTCTTCCAGTCGATGAGATATCCAGCTGCGTACATGCCAACAGGGCAAATCGGCTCACCTAAAGCATGTCTTCTCTCGAAGAAATGCTGTAAATTGAGTTGAGAGACCAACTGGTCAGAACAAATCCCATAATTATGGTTCGGAAGATATGCACGAGAGTCTCAGAAGCAGTTTCACAGACAGACAGAGCAGCAAAGCGGAGAGGGAGGGAGGGAAGCATCCGATCTCGGCTTGAGCAAGTGGTGAAGTGACTGATCGACTCTATGCCATGCCGCATTGCTGCAGTCATCCAGGCAAAAGTAGCACCAAGTATTGAGTGCTGTACATGCTCATACTTTTCATGTTGTAACATTAGGGTTGTATTCAGTGGCGGAGAGGAGGTGTCAGACAATCGACATAAGTCAAAAACTCACAACCACACTGGTACTAGGATTTCTACAGTGTTTGTCCTTTAATAAACACACTCTTCACCAACCTTACAAAGCCCGGTTGAACGGCTGCTATCTTATCAAACATGAAATAAGCAGAACCCAAACAACCCGTAACTTTACGAGAGTTTTAAGAAATTAAAGTGTCCATATTCACGTGTGCGTACCTCCAGCAACACGTTCCCACGTTGTGTAGAGAGAGAGCACACTTGTGTCATCATTAGCAATAACGTGGACTGTCTTAAAGAGACACTACACAATTACGGCTGTTACAATATTCATACTTTTCAGTTGGCGAACGTTTCTAAAAATCCTTTTTTTATTGGTCTTAAGTAATGTTCTAATTTTCAGATACTGAATTTGGGGTTTTCATTAGTTGTCAGTTATAATCATAAACATTAAAAGAAATAAACATTTAAAATATATCAGTCTGTGTGTAATGAACAAATATAATATACACGTTTCACTTTTTGAATGGAATTACTGAAATAAACTTTTTCATGACATTATATTTTATACATACATACTGTATGTATTTAAATTCTTCTGGCTGCCCCGCCAGCGCTTCTGCCTTGATGGATAGATAGTTCGATTCACCTGTCAGGGGAATGTGATGAGAAATGAAAGAAACTTAGTGGCCCCCCCCCCCCCCCCCCATGAAGATTTGTATTACTCATATTTGTCCACTCAAAATAAATGTGAAAACTTTGTAGTTATTGTAATAAATTGAAAAAAATATATATTATTTTATGAATTCTGTTTCTCCTTCATGAAGATGTATGCACATAGTTTAAGGATTTAGGTGAGTGAATCACTTTGGTATTGTGTAATCTCAGGGGATTTGGAGGCCAAAACAAACACACTTGAAGTCACACATACAGACAGAGCTTTAAGGCTCGCTAAGAGTCAAGGGTTAGCATTTGATTTTGTACCACTAAGTGGTTTCACGCAGTTGAAAGACCTACAATATAGTCCAGTAGAACTGCAGTTTATGACTCTGAGGCCACATGCAGAATTTTGCTTCCTCTACAGCAGAAATAATGATTTTCATAAAAATAAAAAAATGAAGGTATTCATCATTTATTAGAAAAAAAATCAGTGAGTCAAAATTTAATATCCAACAAATTGCCCTATTTGTATGCTTACTCAAATATTTTCTGGATTGCAAATACGTGCTTCAGTATTTCTACATGAGGTACTTATTATTTTCCACAAACCTCTATAATTTATCCATTCATTCATTTTCTTTACCTGCTTCTCTTTTGTGTGTTGCGGGGAGCTGAAGCCTATCTCTGGTGCTCAGTGTCTGAGAGGATGGGGACACCCTGGACAGGTCAGTCCATCTCAGGGACACATAAAGACCAATCAGAGAAACAACCATGCATGTTTTTGTCTGTGTCCATGATAAGAATGTACAAACTCCACACAGAAAGGCCCAAGGATGGGAGGTGTTCCTGCAACCTTTTGGCTGAGAGGCTACAACTCTAAACACTGATCCACAGAGCCATCTGCTTCTATGATTAAATCATTAGATTTTAACAAATGGAGCATGCATAATGTTTTTCCCCTCTTCAGAAGAACTTGGTCTTTTTTTACTTTCTTTTCCTAAAATATTAAAATATTGATTAATGTCAACAGTTTATTTAAGTTCTTTAATTTCAGAATGTTCCAAACCATTTTTATGTGGTATATATCTATTAAAAAAAACATAATAATGATTTATTATTGGTTGATTTATGGAGTTGTTTTCAACCAGTTTGACAAGACTGTCAACAAGGAAGAGGGCCGGCAATGGAGGATGGAGGAGGGGGCGTACCAAAGAGACCATCTTATCACAAGCAGAACTGGTTTGTTCCACTTTGGAGTAAATTGTTGGGGGGAAGAATCAGTTTTGTTGTGTGTTTCCTTGACTGATGAAGCTTTCCGAACCGAAGGCAAAACGTTTCAGCACCAAAAAAAAAAAAAGAAACTGTCCATATGACCTGATTGAAAAATGTTGAATAATGATTTATATTCTTTCGTGTTTTTTATACCTTAATTTCAACCTAAAATAGGTTTTGCAGTACTGGCCAAGTTTAATTTTGTGGGGAAATGGACCTGTACTGCTTATAAGTTGCTGAGTTCCCAGGCAGGCTCTAAAAGTGCTCTGCTGCTCTCTTGTGGTTGCAATTTAGGGAAACAGGCAGTTGTTTTTTTATCAGTGTATTGAGAAAAATATTAATACTAATAAATACCATTCACTCTTTTATAATGCACTTTTTGTAATTGCTTGGAAAGCGATATGAAACTATTTTAAATTAAAAGGAACGTGGTAATTGGACATGTCTATGGTTATAATCCCCAACTCTCGCTTGGTGGCGGTAGAGCGTACTTGCTGTTCAATAAAACCATAGAAGAAGAAGATTAGTGGCGCTTCCCCTGGTGGTGCGTTGTGAGTACTACCAGCGCTGCTCCGGTCAGTCCGAGGGGGAGAGAGAGAAGCGGAGAGAGGGAGGAAGGAGCGAGAATGGCGGCCGTGCAGTGCACCAGATGCACGGCAGAAAGAAGAGGGTTTCGGCGGGAACTTGATTCTTGGCGACACAGACTGATACACTGCGTCGGTATGAAGGATAAAATAAATCGGTTTTAGATTTAGTCGGACGACATGGATCGCTGCGTCGCTAGCTAACATAGCTAGCTGGTCGCAGGAGGTTATCTGTAGTGGCTAGCTCCTTCGTGTCGACTCCCTTTCTTTGTCCCCGGCTGTGCAAGCTAGCTGGCGGCCGGTGTTTGCTTTTCAGACGGTTTTACGTACCTCAGAAGCTTTCGCCGATCTGTTAACGTGCACCACACGCTTTGTGTAACGTTAATAACTTCTGTAACCGGATTTGTTTACTGGCACGTTCACATCGTCTATGCTAAAGCGATGCTAGGCTAAGATCAAGTAATTATTTGTGTGAGGGGATTGTGCTATTTTGAGAAAGCTACTAATGTGAGTGTAGTATGTAAAAAAACAGTAATTGTCTTTGGAGACGCTTGTTTTCGGCTTAGAGGCCTTTTAAAGGCGAGTTTTGATGCGTAGAAACACTAGCGTCAACGAAAAACTAGTTTTTAGGTTCAATTAAACGGACTGCTGCTGTTCACCGTTGTTTCCTTTAATAAATTACTATGTATATCTATATAAAGTGTCTGACTATAGTTTTTATCAGTCTGTCTTGAGCAAAATGTAATTTTTAACAAGCCTCGATGATAAAAAAACAACATTAAATGTTTGTAAATGATAAGAAGGTTGTTTTTATCATTACTAACAGGTTGTTCGTTTTATCTTTCAGGGTTTGAAAGTATTCTGGAGGGAGTTTATGGCCCAATGCTGCTGAGGGAGCTTAATTTATTTAATGGTGGGTTATTGCCTACATTTTTTTTTCAAACACGTTTGTATTTTTGTTTATTTGTTTTTTCTTTTGTTTTACCGGAACAGTTTGCATTAAACAGTTTAGCCTTTTAACTATCCAGAAAGCTTAGACCCATGCCAACATTCTTACAGTAAATTTATTACCTTAGTTGTTTTTAATCCAATTCAGTTTATTTATATAGCCAAATTTACATTAAGCAATTGTAATAAAAGTCATAACATTTGTTATGAATTTTAAAGGAGTGTATTTTTAAAACGGGATTTGAAAATGGTTTTCTTTCAGAGTGAGATTTTTGTCCACAAGTTATGAACACTACACTTTGTAACAGCCTACCTGTTGCAAATTTTAAAAAATAAATTGAAATTTAGTCATCATGATTTAAAAAAATTGTCACAAATTACTTTTCAATGCAGTTGATTTAGTTGAGATTTAAGAGGAATGTATTTCTACAGCAGGTAAAAAAAAACAAAAAACATCTATTTGCTGTTAAGAGTCTCAATAATGATCTCTCTGATTTATTTGTTCAAATTTACAGAAATTTTCGTAAAAAATGTTAGCGTTTATCAAAGTCAAATTGATAATGACAAGGTAATAGTTCAAAAACAAGCTCAATTTGGAGAAACAGAGTTTAATGTCTGGTTAGATTGACGAACTGACAGTGACTTCACTCACTGTTAAGGTTTCAACAGAACCCCTAAAGTTGTGAACAATCAGTTTCTTTATGAAAAGTTATTCAAGCTTTAAATAGACATTTGAAATCAAGATAAAGTAATCAACCTATTTAACTACAGATTGTCTGACTTCTCAGTAACAGTACTCGAAGTGTCTGACGCCGCCATTAAATTTTTTTTTTGAGGAGTCCATCAAAGTGTTGGTGCATGATAGTCACATGACTGACTCTTGAGTGGCTCGATCACTCTAGCGGGAAAGACACAACCTTTCGGAGAATCACTTTTAATTTGTATGAAAAGTACAGACTTCAAACTACACACCAGTTTTTTAAATCGTGTTGACAGGACAAGTAATCCCAGAGTTAGGATAAATAATCCACACCACATCTTTTTCTGAAAATCATTTTCGCATCTGAAGCGTGTTAGAGTGAGAGGCTGCGGCAAGGATGAGCAGTCTCTGGGACAAGACACCCCCAAAACCCATCTGCTTTCACCTCCCACCCCCACCAAACATAAACAACCTCCCCCTCCTTTCTTACATCGGCTCAAAGTTTTTCGTCCAGCGCCAAAAAATCAACAGGAAAAAGACGCAGAAGTTGACTGGAGTTCGACGCGATTAAGAGCAATGAGATTTGAGAGATTGAATTTGTTTGGGTTTTAGAGTTAGGGTGTAGTTTAGTCAGTTTTATTGTGTGTGAGCCAAAACAATGAGAATATTTTTAAGCATGAGGTGGAGCTGCAGAGGCAAACGAGAGGCTCATCAAGAAGAACTGTATGAGAGAGGACTTTGTTGAAGAAGTGAGCGATCCATGAGGTGTTTTAGAGAAGAGGAAGAATGCACCGAGCACCACTTAGAGGTTTGATTCTACACAGAGGGGGAGAAAGTGCAGCACGCCCGTAAGGTCCAGAACCCCTCTGACTGGTCCAACAGAACCAAGCATCAGTTCTGAGCTCTGGAGAACAGGAGGATGTAGATGTTGATGACCCAGAAGTAAACAGGTTCCAGGCACACAGAACACCAGAGGTCCAGTTAGACGCACATTCCTCCTCAGAGTCCAAAATAACTTTTGTTTTTTGCTCTGACCCAGTCTGGACAACCTGCAGTACCACTAACAAGAAGGCAGCAAATAAATAATAATAAAAAAAAATCTGAAGAAAAAACAGACAGTCATGGAAGATCTGTATAAAAGTTTGGTCTCCTGATTTACATGTGGCCAAGTATCCAGGATCACTGGAGGCAGAACCACCGTCCGAGCCCCTTCCTGCCAACATGACACGAGACCCATCTAGATTATTTGGAGCATTCCCCCGACTGATCCTGAGCACGACATCCACAATAACCAATAAAAGGGATGTGGTGTTCCCCTCTGCCTGGTTTTGGACAGAAAATGTTTTTATGAGACGAGCAAATGATTTATGGCATTTTATTGTAACACATTGTTTTGTCCAAAAACCAGAAGTAGTGTATGAAACTTTGTTGACTGAATTTGTACATGTTTATGAATATTACCGTTAATATTTGTATTTGAAGTTGTAAAAATAATTTATGTTTGTGGTTTTCACTGTTAAAAAAAAAATTCTGACATGGATTTAAATTTTTTTGTGATTTTTAGGGCTATTGTAGATCAGAAGTCAGTAAAATAACTTGAAACACACATGGGAGGTTGTGCTGAACAAAATGACACAAAACATGGCCGGTTAAACCATTTTTCAGGTGAAATATTCTACCTTCATTTATACAGGTTAGTCCCATTGAGCCTCAGGGACTCATTTACAAGAGAGACCTGAACAAATATGAATGTAAAATCAAAAATGGTTCAAAAACGTCCAATTTCTGGACTCTCTTCTTCTCGTTTTCACCATCAATGAATGAAGTACACACCTCATTTTATTGTGTACGGACACAGATACTTGCATTTGTCGTTTACTACGTAAATACCCAGTCCAACCTTGATCCGACGTCGATATTTGCATAGTTTAAGACGCAGGACGAACATACCGATACTTTCCACCTGTCTATTCTAGGAGTGACATAACGTGAATGGGTGAAACCTTCGTATTAGCAATGTTTTTTTTTTTCTTTGACCTTTTTTATTTTTAACTAAATATTTGATTTTTGTTTTAGCCACTTGGTGGTGGTCTGCTTGTATATTTGAGAGCTTGTGTAAAAATCTGCCCAGAAGAGGTACGTCTTTCCTGGCCAGAGTCACTGGAGTCCCGTGTCTTGTGTTTGGATGTAAAGAGTTAAAACTCTTGTAACGTGCACAAGTGAACATTGAAAAAGCTGCTCCACATGCATGCAGGCTGCAGAATCAAACGCTCCACGGCTGACTGCCGTTGGTATATCCCAAGGCAGGACGTCATTAGCGGGTGAACCTGCAGCTCGCTCGTATTTCCAGGTCGGTACTGGCGAAAAACAATTTAAAAACTAACAATTTGGTCACGGGAAGAGTTTATGTAATTAAAAGAAATCTAGAAGAAAAAAAAAACTTCTTCATGTTGGAAGACCAGGAGACGCGACTAAGTTTGACCAAACACAAGAACTGGTCTTCAGCTACAGATTCTGAAGGTCCAGCGGTCTGGAGAGTCTTAACAAAACTGGACTGGAATTTTTAGAAAATACTTTTAAAAAAAAATAAATTGGGGTGTACTAATTGGGGAATTTTTTTATTTTTAAAATCGACATAAAATAAATATTTTGTCAGTTTAAAAGAAAAAACTGAAATGTGGATTATTTTAAACAAAAAATCTTTTAAAAACTTCAAAATCAAATTAAAAAAATTTAAATTAGATGATTTTATTTCAGACTGAGACAGCTCTAAGTGACTGACTAGATTTTTGTGGAAAAATAAAATAAAAAATAAATTGTATATTTAAACAGATAAATAGGATGATGAGGAACATGAATTGTTATAAAGTTAAAGGGTCGAAACAGTCTTATTCGAATGTTCTCAATAAACTCAAAGCAGTCTGCTCCTCAGATAAATGGAGTTAAATAATTATTTTTATACATGAATGTTTCTGTTCAGTGCCCTGAGATGACTTCTGTTATGAATTGGCACTATATAATAAACTGAACTGAATTGAAATAAGATGCTTTTGATGGCTCAGATTTGATGATCTTGCCTGTAGTTGCAGAAAACAAAGTGGTTTTTGAGCTGCATGATTCCAACTGGGACTGCTGCAAGATAAAGAATAGATAAATCCACTGTGACGTAATGCTTCATTAGATTCTTGTAAATGTATGTTGTCTTGCTCTACAAACTGACTGACAGCTGCTGATTATTATGACTTCATGACTCTTGCCTGTCATGCTGGTAAAGACATTTTAGAGTTGCTTTTGAACTATAATAAATGGAACATTGATCAACATTTTTGATGGCACTCGACAAAATGTAATGTTTGTTACTGGTTTCCCATTGGTGACTACGTTTTTATGACTTTTAATTTTGTGTTCTGATGTAAAGCACTTTCAACTGCCTTGTTGCTGAAATGTGCTATACAGGTACAAATAAACTAGATGGATTGATTTTCGTCAGTGATCGGTGTTTAAACAGTCTGCGTTCACCAACATTATCATGCACAGACCATCTACAGTTTGTATTGATGCTGGGAAATGACCAGTCTCCCACTCCAAATCATATTGCAAGTGTTGATGCATGCAACTTACATTTGTATTTATTCTTTAAGGAAAACATTTATAGTGAACCAGACTCGGTACAAATGTGGCCATGGTGAATTCACCTGCTCGTTTCCTGTCTGTTTTGTCAAAATGTCTTCAAGACTTAACATCTCTCTCACAGCTCAGGAAGCTATACTAGTTTTGCGCAAAAAATATTTGAAGAAAATGACACAAGGGAATGTTTTCTTCAAAAAGATGACATCACTCATTATGTTCTGCAAAAACACTTTATTGATTTAACTAGAAAATCATATTGCACATAACGCATCTCTGTGTTTACCTGTTAAAAACATGATCGCTAACAAATAACATGGAGATGGTCCTGACTCATTCACTAACATGTTCTTAGCTACGCTGTCAGAAACAGCAATATAACTACATGATTTATTGCATGTCTTATTGCACATATGACAGAATAATCTTCATGTTAAAATACTTATTACTGTAACTTGGGTAAATAGAAGCATGTAAACAACAACAGTAAATGGAGATGCATTGTTATGCCCTGTGTGTGTGTAAGGACACTGAATGTACAGATAAAATATAGAGCATTAACAAAAGTAGACAGTTCAGTTTGCACTGTTTCGTCTCGTTTAATTTCATGCTACAACTTTGAGTTGGGGACCCTGCGGCCTCTGATTATGCTTGAATTATTTCTCGTGTTTCAGACTGTGAACCTGAAGAGGTGGATGACTGGTCTGCAGAAACGAGCTGCTCCCAGTGTTCGTTCTGTAACCTTCCACTGGACAAACTTGGTGTAAGGATTATCTGGACTTCACGTCTGCCCTGTCATAAACTTGTAATCGGGTGCTGACTGAAGGATTTCTAATGTTCTAGTGAAACCTGCGGAGTGACTAGTTTTCTTTTTTGTATAGGATCAAGCTCCTGCAGCCACTTCGCCTCTCTCCTCCCCCTCCGATTACTCTCCATGTCAGACCTCGACCATCTCTGAGAGCAGCCAGTCAGCACACAAGTTCCTTCAAGCTGTGTTTCACAAAAAAGGTCAGTCACTTGGCTTTCTTCTTTAATTGTGGATTGATCGTGTGTGCCACCGGACATTATTCACTTACATAAAACTGATGAGGTCCCAGTTATGCCGCCAGTCAGATGGTAGGCAGAAAGCAACAACAGGCCCCTGTGGGGTCTGGTCTCTGGATTAGGCTTATTTTCCATAGATTAGTTGCTCATTTGGAGTATGTAGGTATTCTCATTTTAACTAACTAGATAAAGGGTATTAATGCTGGAGAAAAAAAGGGATGATTGTTTTCTGTGTATATATTTCACACCAGCGTGTCCTTTGCTGTTGTGAGAATAAATTGAGTTAATTTGTAGCCGTTTATTAAAAAAGCCTGTTAAATCAGAACTGAATGGATCAGTCAGTTGAAAGTCAAACTTGCTTAGTCTAAGGTTAGTAAAAGGATAAACCTCCAAAATAAACAAGGAACCATTCTGCATGTTGACGGCTTTGCAGAAAATACTTGTTAAACCTATTCTGCCACTGAGGGACCTCTCGGTGAATTAACTCAATTATGAAACTGGTCTGCGTGCTGATCCGACAGGCTCCCATCATCACCTCCCCCTCCCTCACCGTGCCCCGACCTGCCGGGACTTTGGTATCTAAAAGTTAACTTTGTATTAATTGTTAATCCAATTGGACCAACATCATTAGCATATGTACACGTCCTACTTGTACGTGCGACCAAACTTCCACAAGCAGAGAGGGCTCTGCCACGGGAGCGCACACCTGTTCGAGTCTGTCTCTCCAGGAAACTCTGATTCTGCAACCTTACTTCTCGGAACTGAACTAAAAGACGTTTGGTTTGCCCATGATTAATTCAAAAGCATGTTTCTGTTTAACTCTTTTTTTTTTTTTTTTACTCGCTGTGTTCTCTGTCAGTTTCATGTGTTTATAGTTCACCGTAAATGTCTGCAAATTTTGATTCTAAACAGGATTAAAGCAAAATCAACAAGGTTTGTTGCTGTAGGTGTTAAACTTGTCAATATCTGGAGCCATAACAGTGACGTGACTACAGTCATTCCTCGTTATATTGCGGTTCACTTCTTGTGGCTTCACTGTCTCGCAGGTGTTTTTTAAACCAGTTTTTTTACATTGTGTGTGTACATGCTGTGCAGCACTGTACAGTCGTCTCATTGTCATCATCTTCATCGCCACGATAAGTGTTTAAGAGCATATGAAGTGTTTATAAGAGAGTGGGAAAGCTTTGTAGGTGTGTGGGAAGGGTTTATAAAGCCTTAAATATATATAAATAATAAAATGAATATATAAACTAGATAGATAGATAGATAATGGATAGATAAACTTCATCATGATTAATGACCAACCACTATCAGTTGTAGAAAATGAAGGATTTCTCAGTTTGATACTTGCAGCCAAGATATAGTTTACACTCCAGATATATTTTTCAGTACAACAGTAGACAATCATAAAAAAACATGATTTGAAAATTACAAGAAAATTATATATTAAAAAAAACCAGCTACATTATAAAGTGATGTAAAATGCTAAAAAAAACATGTCTGTGTTAGTTTATGCCACGAACTTAGCAGGTGTTTAAAGCCACTAATTTTTTAATTTGATTTAATTCATTTATTTAAGAGACAAAATAAACAACAAATTCATCAAAAAGAAAACATTGAATGAAAAGAGTGCAGAAAGAAAAAAAAAAATCTTATATCTCCCCCTTATTTAAAAAAAATAAAATAACTTTAAACAATCACTTAAATTAATCACTTTAATATCCACTTTAAAGTAGGAATTAAAAACAACATGTTTTGTGTTAGCAGAATTAAACCAAAAAAGTCCATGCTCAATAACTTTAAAACTTATCCAACATTAATAAAACTTACCTCAAGTTGCCTTTTTGGACATGCATGCATATATTTGTACAAATTGTACTTGAGAGGAGATTATTACAGCCTCATGTAAAATCAATAATTATGATGATATCGGAACTGGATCGGTATCGACAGATACCCAGTTTTAGATATCGGGATCGGATCGGAAGTAAAAAAAAAGGTGGATCTGTGCATCCCTAGTTTGGATGATGTCATTTCAAGTGCGTTAACAAGTTAGACGTGTTGCCTGCTGCAGATCCACTCTCCGTGAAACAACGTCGACACACAGCTTTGGATGTGCGGTTTTCTTTTCCCTTTGTTGAGTTTTAACAAGAAATCCACAATGTTCCCAAACAGGAGACTGCAACGAGATGAAAGATGGCCGCGCTCAGAGCAGTTGCAGCTTCACAGGCTCCCGGTACCATCCCAGTTTTTAGAAGTTTTGATATTGACTCTGTGCCTGACTCTGCGCGATTTATGCGTGTGAACTATAGCCGAACCGAACTGATGAGAATAGGAGCGGATTTGCCACGAAATATAGCAGAAATCAGCAACAAACTCAAAGCTACGCTCGGCAGAATGCAGATCTTAAAGTCATCTACCTGGAAGCTGCAGCAGAGGCGTTCCAGCGGGCAGAAGAGGAAGCGCTGCTCCCGGCTTAAGAGGAGAGGATGCCGGGCGGGGGTTATGGTGAGGCTACGAGCTAACGCTAAAGCCGGTAAACTCCCCATGCCGTCTCTCTTTCTGTCGAATGTCCGCTCGTTGGACAACAAGGTGGATTTACTTCGTCTGAGAGCGGGCGCCTCAGAAGAGATGAAGAAGTGTGCGGTGCTTTGCCTCACGGAAACGTGGATTACAAGTGAAACGCCGGACTCAGTCTTCCAGCTGGATGACAGACTTTTTTTTCGAGCGGACCGCTGCAGCGAGCTAACGGGGAAATCACGGGGGGGCGGAGTATGCATTTACGTGAGTAAAAGTTGGTCCACGAACTGTACTGTTGTAAATAGCTCATGCTCGAAGGCTTTGGAGCAAATAACAGTGAAATGTCGGCCACATTATCTACCCCGAGAGTTCACAGTGACTTTTATCACAGTTGTTTACATTCCTCCGGACGCTAATGCTAATGAATCACTGCAGGAGCTTCATGATATCATCAGCTCGCTGCAGAACAAACACCCCGAGGCTCTTTACGTTGTAGCCGGAGACTTTAACCACGTGAATCTAAAGGAGTGTCTCCCAAGCTTTAATCAGCATGTGACGATTCCGACACGTGGAGACCGCACGCTGGACCGTGTTTACACGAACGTAAAAGATGCATACAAAGCCGAACCCCGCCCCCACCTAGGACTGTCAGACCACATCTCAATCTTCCTGGCTCCTGCTTACATGCCCCCGCTGAGACGCTCCAGACCGGTACAAAAGCAAGTTAAATGTTGGAGCCAGGACAGTGGACCCATACTGAGAGACTGTTTTGATCGAACAGACTGGCAGGTTTTCAGAGAAGCTGCTGAAAATGGAGGTTCGCTTGATCTTGACCAATACACATCCTCAGTACTGGGTTACATTAGTACATGTACTGACACAGTCTCCACTATCAGAAATGTTAAAAGCTACCCAAACAGAAAACCTTGGCTGAATGCAGAGGTGTGTACCCTGCTGGAAGCCAGGAACACTGCCTTCAGGTCTGGAAACTCAGAGGAGCTGAGTAGGACAAGAAAAGAGCTGGTTGCTGGTATTAAGAGGGCCAAGGCCACATATGCAAAGAGGATCGAGGGTCAATTCATCTCACAAGACCCTCGGAGCATGTGGAGGGGCATTAAGTGCATAACAGATTATAAAGGAAGGAGTGAACAATGCCCCAAAGACCCATCTCTGCCTGATGCCCTCAACAAGTTCTATGCACGCTTTGAAGACCCGAACAGACCACCCAGCACCAGACTCACCTCGCCACCGGATGAAGAGCATCTCAGCGTGACCTCAGCAGAAGTAAGGAGTACCTTCAGGAGGATTAATCCGCACAAAGCAACTGGCCCAGACAACATCCCCGGAAAAGTGTTGAAGGAATGTGCTGATCAGCTCTGTGAGGTGCTGGCAGACATCTTTAACACCTCACTTACCCTGGAGACAGTTCCCACCTGCCTGAAGACTGCCACCATCATCCCAGTCCCAAAAAGCTCTACAGTGACTGGTCTGAATGACTATCGGCCAGTGGCCCTCACCCCGATAGTCGCTAAATGCTTTGAAAAACTGGTCATGACTCACATCAAAACAACCATCAACATCAACGAGGACCCTCATCAGTATGCATACCGTGAGAACCGATCAACAGAGGATGCAATCTCCTCTGTGGTCCACACTGCGCTCAACCACCTGGAGCAGAAAAACTCTTACGTCCGTATGCTCTTTGTGGACTTCACATCCGCCTTCAACACCATGATCCCCCAAACCCTGATGGACAAACTATCCACACTAGGACTAAGCCCCTCCATCTGCAACTGGGTACTAGACTTTTTAACAAACAGACCACAGTTAGTGAGGATCCACAACCTCTCCTCCTCCACCATAACCCTCAGCACTGGCTCTCCTCAGGGATGTGTGTTGAGCCCCCTCCTGTTTACTCTGCTCACGTATGATTGTGCAGCTACCCATCCAGGCTGTCACATTGTAAAGTTTGCAGATGATACAGCGGTGGTGGGATGCATCACAAACAATGATGAGTCCAGCTACAGGCAAGAGGTGGAACACCTGGAGAGCTGGTGCAGAGAGAATAACCTTCACATCAATGTGAAGAAGACAAAGGAGATGATTGTGGACTTCAGAAGGAACAAAAACACCTACACCCCCCTGAACATAAGAGGATCTGCGGTGGAAGTGGTCTCCAGCTACAAGTACTTGGGTGTACACATGAATGACAACCTCAGCTGGAGCAACAACACCACCAGCCTGATCAAGAAAGCTCATCAGAGACTCTACTTCCTCCGACAGCTGAGGCGAGCTGGTCTGGGAAGCTCAGTCCTCACCTCCTTCTACAGGTGTGCAGTGGAGAGCATCCTGTGCTCGAGCATCAACTTGTGGCATGGAGGCTGCACAGCTGCAGAAAGAAAAGCTTTGCAGAGAGTGGTGAAGGGTGCACAGAAATCTGTTGG